TAAAATATAAATAAACAAATATGTATATTAAAAGAGAAACTCGAATGGCTATTGCCAAAAGATAAGAAAACTAGAGACCCTTGAAACTAGATTGGAAGTGAGAAAGGAATTGACAAGAGTGAAGAAGGCTTCACTCTTATCTCTATATGTACTATCTAAGTAGGGGCTATGTGGCGACGTTCTATAGGACCTTCAATATGTGTTGACTTTGTAGGACACATGCCTTGATTTACAAGGCAAGTTTTTCAACGTGTGGATCACATAGTTAGCTTGATCTTCAAGCTAACAACATGTGTGGCACATGACCAACTTGTTAACCACGTTTCTGATCCAAAAAGTCATTTAAAGACACCTATGAAGTCAAAGTAGCATCTATGAAGCTTCTAGGAAGCTTTTGTATTAAATACTATAGAATTAACTTATTTTTGCCTACTTTTACTTACTTCTACCTATTTGTATATGTAATTACTAGCTTACATGAGTATGTCCATGACAGACTCTTATAGATGGATGTATGCCTTGATCTTTATCATGAGGGATATTTGGACTTTGAAGGCTCATGGTGATATCATACATTGTGAAGTGTACTTAAAAATCAACTAAGCATTTGTTTGGAGATGATAAAATAAAATTTGGAATGAAAAAGTCCTAATAACTCTAATATATTCTTAAATATACTCTAATAATAATCAATTAATCTTAATAATACTAATTTTTCTTTAATTAAACTCCAAAAAAGTCTTAATAATTAGTTATTGTTAAGATTTAAACCAAATTTTAAATCAATTCTAACTAAATTTAATCAAATCCTAAACCAATCCTAAACAAATTCTAATAAAATCCTAAATAAATTCTAATCAAATCTTAATATAATTGAAACCAAATCCTAATTATATCCTTAAAATATCCTAAAGAGACCTTAAAAAAATTCAAAAATATTTGAAATAAATCTTAATCAATTCCTGTAGTTGTTTTAAAATCTCAATAATTATTAATCAAACCCTTGATATCAACTAAAATTTCATCCATATTTCAATCTATAAAAACTTAATAAGAATAAAACTTTAAAAAATATCAAATTTATTAATCAATAGAACAAGCTACTAAATATCTTGGATATTGACTGTCCTACTTCTCCAACTTAGATATTGATATTTCAGCAATAATTTGTCTTTGTTGAACTATTCAATTGCTTTACAATTTTTTTTTTGTGTAGATTTTTAGGTTCAAATTACTTTCACCAATTTTTTCTTCTATTAGATGAATTTTTTTTTTTAAGATTATAAAATCCCTCATTGATCCTAAATTTCAAAAATCCAAGATTCTAATCCAATTCATATCCTTTAATCTAACTATTCAACTAATAACAAATCTTTCAAATATATTGAAGATAAGTATGATGATAAAATTATAAAATTTTACTTATAAATGTGTTAAGACTCTCATATAATACTTAAAATTATAACCTCTTTTTATTTTTTTAAATCCAAAATTATTAAGTACAAGTTTTTTTTTTGAAAAGCCATCAAAAACTCAATATGTCTTCAAATCACATAAAACCAACTCTTAATAAACCTCTCACTAGTTCGATATCAAATTCCACTCTTTGGTCAACCAAAAAATCCTTGAATTGCCATGTGTACATGGTTTTATGCCTTAGCGTATGATTTTAACCTTGGTTCAAAATTAGTCCTTTATAAATATCAAATCTTGGAATTTTTTAGATAAATTTTACTAAAATCTATTATCAATTCTTTTTTTAAGATACCTATATGATTTATTTTCTTAATCTTTTTTTTTCTTTATTTTATTTATGGTCTTACAAAGTAAAAAAAAGGTTCTTTTATAAGAAGGCAATATTAATACTTATTAATTTTTACTACCTCCTTTTCTATTATCTATATTTCTAAAATAAATTACTAAAATATTTTCATTTAAGCTCCTCAATAATATAATATTTTCTTTCATCTTTTACCTAATGGCATTGTTATAATGCAACATCACTAGTTAGTTTTAATCAATCAAAGAAGAGAGGGAAGAAGAAATTGGAATTTGCACTTTAGTAAGGAAGAAAGAGAGGAGGGCCAAGACCAATGTTGGAAAAAAGAAGTGAGGCTATGAAAGCCACTCTCGAGCGAGAAAGAAAGATAGTGAAATCCACACCAAGGCAAAGAAGAGAAAAAGTACAGTGAAGATCCATAGTATAGTAAGAGAAAAAGAATCTGGATGAATCAATTAAAAGCCTTGGATGTATATATAGATATAATGGATGTGTATATAGACATAATGAATGTATATAAAAAAACTTGGGATGTGCTTGTAATTTGAGCCTTAGAACAATTGCATATAATATATATATAGCACACAATTGATTATTGATGAAAGTAGATGGTTTTGATGAATAAAGACTTTTATTTTCTAAAAAGAATTGATTTTGTATCAAGTTATTTTTTAACATTTTTATTTAATATCATGATAATGCAAGTGCATCAAATGTTGTGATATCTCTTAACTAATTTTAAATTTAAATACGTCTCTAATTCAAATGCTTTGAAAAAGATGGATTAGTTTTTATTTATTTATTTATGAATATGATCATTATCATAAAGATATATGTTAAAAAATAATATGATTAAAATAATTTAATGATGATACATTCTTTTAGGTAGATTAACAACTATGATTGATAAACAAGAAAATTGATTTATTAAAAATAGATGATTTCTAAAAAAAATTATGATTAAACTTCTTGCAAAGTTGGTTGGTTTTTAAATAATAGAAAAGAAATAATACAACTTTATTTTAATGAAATATATATTTTTTCTGAATATTTATTTTGATTAGATTCTTGTACCTAATTTCTAATTAAATATACATAATAACCTTTGAGATAATGAATAAATACTATTGAAAATCACAACAAAATTGATGTTCCCAATGTGATGTGATATTAGTATAAGAATTATTCAAAAAGCAACATGTTCTTTTGAAGTATTATGTTTTTCATTTACTAATAACTTTGTTTGCAAAAAAAAAGAAAAAAAGAAAAGAAAAGATGTAAAATCATTACTTAGCTCACTATAATTTAAAAATTAAACATCTTGTACTTTTCAATAGAGTATTCATGTTTTTTTTTTTTTTTTTTTTTTTTTAAATTATTATAATGAATATAAGTGACACAATATGCAATTATACTAGTTCTCTGATTTTTCTGTAGATATTTCTGAAAATAAAGTTTAAGTATTATTATTTATTCATGAGTTTGTTCGTGATTTTGTCAAATGTATAGCTTTATTAATTAGATGCAGAATTGAAATGAAGTATAATTCTCTTAAAAGACAAATGTGTTGATATGATTTTTAAAGAAAAAAATTGAATTTAATTTTTTAATAAATAACATAAATTTATGTAACAATTATAATACAAGAATACTAAAAAAAATACTAAAGTTACACTAAATTAGACAACAAACATATTACACTTTAAGAAGTTGCACAAATTTTTTTTTATATTGTTAATTGAAGTTTTTTTCTAAAAAAAAATTTAAAAACTTATTCTATCATCAACATCCAAAACTCTAAAAAATCAAATGAAACATGGTTAAATATACATGTTGAATATAAGAAGGAAAAGAAATACAATGTTCAAATTTTATGTATTTATTTGCATCTATTTGGTATATACTTTTTAATCATCTTTGGTTTTTAATATAAAATTATATTCATTATTACAAATAATAAACTAGTTAAAAATTAATCTTTTGATATAATTAAGATAATTAGTAATTGCACAAAGCTGTTGATTTATTTAGTTTGATGTAGATTAGATTATTGGAAACAATCTATACACAAAATTGTATGGAAACAACATGTTCTGTCATTGATATAAACATGATGTTTTGTAGTAAGGAGAGGATGTGATACACACTATGTAATAAATACGTTTCCACTATGAGAATAAGTACAAGAAATGAAAAGAGGGGAAAGAAAGAAGTGGTGATGGAAATAAATCAAGTGTTGGGTGGTCCGTTGGTGGAGTAAATTGATGAAGTAGATTGATGAAGTGTGGAATGGGCAGTAAGAGTAAGAGGGAGATGGATGGATGGATGGATGGATGAATGAATGAATCAAGCAAGGGATGTGGGGGGAGGGAGTGCGATGACGAAGGTGGATGACGTCCGTGGAAGGGGATGAAAGAACATCTATCATTGCCCATGCGGGGTGAGGGACAGCCAGGCATGGGCTTGCCCATTCGCATCACACACTCCCTCTCTCACTCATACACACTCACTCAGAGAGAAAGAGAGACAGACAGACACCCACACACAGCCACAGAGTAGGCACCCCCCCCCTCTTCCACTCCGTTTCCGTTTCCGTCTGCTCAGGGACGAAAGGGGTTGGACGAACGGACGGACGGTCGGACGGACAGATTGACAGACGGAGCCTAGGAGCAAGTTCACGCCCGCCTTCTAGAATGTCAACGAAGCTGCCCAGAAAGTCCTGAAGAAGGGACCTCGGCCCCGCAGAGCCGCAGCGGCGACCACATTGAACGACCGCGACGACGACGACAGCGAGCGTCCGAGAGAAGTGCGGAGGGCAGGAGGGAGGGAGGGGGAATGCAAAGGGAAGGGGGAGCTTGCCATTTCTATATTCTTTCGTTTCGTTGTTGTTCCTCCTCCTCGTCTTCTTCTCCGTCTTCTTCTTCTTCTTCTTCTGCTTCTTATTATCGTTATTTATAATTACACATCGCTCTCCACATGTGACGACAAAGTCGGGCGGAGGTTAGGGGGCCCATCCTATGGGGGTAAGTAGATGCCAGCATCTTAGTCGGCGTTTGACCCGCCTCGCACCCCGTCATCTTCCGCCCCGTCCGGCCCGGCCCGGCCCGGCCAGGCCAGCCCATGTCCCTCCGCCTCCTCCGTCATCGTCTCCGTCCCGTCTTCGTCTCCGTCTCCGTCCTGGTCCCCGTCAGCGTGCACTAGTGATCGGGACTGTGTTTAGTGGTCCCCTGATGCCATTGGCGACAGACATTTTGTGTGTTGGCTAGGGGCAGCGTCTGCGCCATCGCCGCTCACCTGTGGGGTTCTCTCCGCCGGCTGCTGCTGTGCTGATTGTGGCTCCTTCTAGTTGGCGGGCTTGGTCGTCCCGGGTGAGCGGCGTTCCTGTGGTGTCTCCGTGCCTTTACCGGCCACATTGTGTCCGATTGTCGCCTGCGTTGGCTATGGAGAGCGGCGGAGGGATGGAGGTGTGGATGTCCTGGGGCATGTTCTGGGGAGTGATGGGTGCGATGGGAGCCGCTGCTTACTACTTATTGGTGCTAGCGGGCGCTGCGGAGAGGAAAGGTAAGAGGGCTGTAGATTTGGGTGGAGGCAGCATCACTCGGGAGCAGGTGAAGAGCAGCTACCAAAAGTATGCCTCGTTCTTCGAGAAACCCAAGCAGATCGAGGCGAAAGACAACGTCCCAAACTTCGTAGATACTTTTTACAATTTGGTGACGGATATTTACGAGTGGGGATGGGGGCAGAGTTTCCATTTTTCGCCTGCTGTGCCCGGGAGGTCTCACAAGGAATCGACGCGGATACACGAGGAGCGCGTGGTGGATCTGCTGGGGGTGAAGCCTGGGCAGAAGGTGTTAGATGTGGGATGCGGCGTGGGCGGGCCCATGCGTGCAATCGCATCGTACTCTCAGTCCCATGTTACCGGCATTACCATCAATGACTACCAGGTGGCTCGAGCGAGGAGCCACAACAAGAAGGCGGGGTTAGACGAAATTTGCGAGGTTGTTTGCGGGAACTTCTTGCAGATGCCTTTTGAAGACAGCAGCTTTGATGGAGCTTATTCCATTGAGGCAACATGCCACGCTCCCGAGCTGAAGGATGTGTACTCGGAGGTGTTCCGGGTGCTGAAGCCTGGACATTTGTACGTGACATATGAGTGGGTGACTACTCCGCTGTTCCGGGCGGACAATACTTTGCACGTCGAATGCATTCACGGCATTGAGCACGGGGATGCACTTCCCGGCCTGAGAAGTTACAAGCAAGTTGGCGAGATTGCCAAGCAGGTGGGTTTCAAGGTGTTGGAGGACAAGGATCTGGCATTGCCACCTGCGCAGCCATGGTGGACCCGTCTGAAGATGGGGCGGTTGGCGTACTACCGGAACCATTTGGTGATCGCGTTGTTGTCTTTCTTAGGAATTGCTCCCAAGGGCGTGGTGGATGTGCACGAGATGCTTTTCAAGACAGCCGACCATTTGACGCGCGGAGGGGAGATGGGGATCTTCAGTCCTATGCATTTGCTGGTGCTACAGAAGCCGGAGGAGTGTTCTTGAGGGGATTTAGTGAAGGAAAGTTGACTGGCGCTCATTCCCGTGTGGGTGTGTCCTTGTTTTTATCTCCTTCTGTAGTGTCCCAGTCACGGCATGTGCGGGGAAGGGGCTTGTGAGTTGGGCGTGAGAATGGATAATCTGGTATTGGCTTCATGGGATGTGCGTTGAAGCAGGGCCGACGAGGTGCTGAGCACATCCAATTACGAGGTGTTTTACCGGTGACTGTCAGAGCGAGGAGGAGACTCTTGACACCTCCTGGGTCAGGGGACGGTCGCAGAATGGGTTCACTGATCCATGCATTGTAGAAAGGTGAGACGTGCAGCGAGATCGCAGCAGGCTTTGGCACGAGCGGCATGTAGCGGCTTTGAAGATCGTGAAGTGTGCTGGAGGCCGAGGAGCGCCCAACATTGACCTATAAACCATTTTTTCAGAGGATTGGTAGGGCCCGGGTACAGACCTGGCGCGGCCTTCGATGACATGGCATTGGCATCTATAGATTATTGTGCTGCTTGCTGACGATCAGGTTAGAGGACTGAACAGCATTAGCAGGGGCATTTCCAGCAGCAGCTGCTAGTGAAGGATGTCAAATGCTCTTTTGGAATCGAAAAGCTCGTCATGGTCGAACACAGCATGTGTGCGCATTTCGCTAAGTTTCGCCCTCCTGGTGTGTGGGAAGGGTAGGTGGTAGTGTATGTGGGATAAGGGGGTGATTTCGTTTTGCTTTGTTTGCATTGGTTGTGCAACTTAGCCTACTATGGCAGCTTTCTGAATTTTTCCACGCTTCAACACTTTAGTCCTAAATTGTGCGTGATGGCATCCAATCTGAACTCCTCTTGTAAGAAGAACTGCCAACTCCTTGTATTGTTGTGTTCACATTTCACAACGAAGACTTCTGCGGGCCTTGTAAAGGTCAGCCCTAAGGGATACATCTCGAAATGATCCATTCTGAACTATAACCCTACCTGAAAAGCGGAAACTTTCTCTAATTTACTTAAGGGATTCTGGGGTGGTTCCTACTCAGTGAATTTCAGAATTGATTTTATCTTGTATGTGCCAATCTAGCTTGGGCAACAACTGTGGAAGGTGTACAGAATTTGGATGCTAGATTTGTCATTCTATTTTAATTAGCACTTCATGATAATAAACACCTGAGATCAACCCTCTATTGGTGGTATGTGTTCGTGTGCATATATTTTTAAAATAAGTGCGCAATTCATAATATAAGTATAGTACATCATTCTGACACATATTTAAGAGGTGCAATGCATGAATGAATTTTTACAGATAAACAAAAGAGACATTAGGGTCATGATGGGTTGTAAGGGTTAAACATTCTACTGTTATTTCTGACTGTGTAATTGATCACAATTAAGTGCAAATAATATATTATATGAACATGGTTGCAAAACACATTGTATAGAGATATTCGAATTTGTAATTTGATGTGAATAGAATCTGTAGGCTAATTTGAAAATACAGTGACCTTCAAAACTGTCCTAATGTTTATACTTGTCACATTCAAAAAATAATGTAGGTAAGAGAAATTCATGAAATGGAATGTAGCAAATTTATTGAAATAGTACATACAATGTACTAGTTTCTTACAAAATTTTCATCAAAATCTAAGCACTCAATGAAAAGAAAAAAAAATTCAAAATGGCCCAAAAAGTTTCTACAGGATTCAAATCTAGTAACTAAAGAGGCCAAGGTAAGATACTAAAATGCTGCCTAGAAAACCCTTGTTTCATACTATTATTGCTATGTATAGGCACATTATCCTATTGAAATATGACTTTTGATGCATCTAAATTATATTTTTAATTTTACCATGTACATATTCCTCCAAGATTTTCTAATAACTATGTTGATTGAGGCGACCTTCAATTTTGTGCATCACATCATGTCCATGTATCCACATACATCTTCACATCATCATAAAACCACCATCATGCTTAATAGTTAGAATAATAGTCGGCTCAACACCAAACTCTTCCATCTAAAGAAAAATTATTAATCTTAGTCTCATTTGAGAATATCATATAATTCCAATCATCAATGGTACAATATTCATGCTTTTTGGCAAATTCTAAGTAAGACCTAATATTTTTACTTGACAAATGTGATTTCTTCTCTTTCACATGTGATTGCAAACCTCCTCTATAAAGTGCATGATACATAGTAACTTCATTGACTTGTACTCGAAAAAATTCTTTTACATGTTTAGTAGCTTTCCTTGTAATAATTTTCTACCTCTTTCATACTATAGCCTTTTTAAAGCAAAGAGAATATGTTTTGTTCCTTCTTTTGCAATAATGGTTTTACCATTTTTTCTTATGAAGTAAAATATAAGAACAATTGATATGTGAATATATACATGCAATAAAACAAAAATCAAGCAATTTACAATGCATCTACTCTTGAATTTCTATGCTCACATGATGCATTGACATGGACCTTCAAAATTATTCCAATGAAGAAGAAATATCTAGAGCTTCAATCCATGCATATGTATGTAGAGACTAGTGCCAAGACTTGCACTTTAATACCTTATTGATAATAGAAAGTAACTATATTTTTTCCATATCATTTTAATATGCAATCATAATTTGGTGACTCGCCAAAATTATAAATTGGAAACTTTGAGATAGTTTTAAAGGTCAGTGTACTAATATTAATAAGACTAGGATTTTTTTTTTTTTTTTTATCAAAATTAACTTGAAAGAACTATTGGAATTTAGAAGATTGTTAAAATATTATTAGAGTAATTTTTAAATCTTATCAATAGATATTATAGACATCTAATTTTTATTATCTTTTATTAGCATTCATATTTTGAAATAAAGGATTAAAAAAAAGTCTTTAGATTTTAAAATTTGATATCAAATTGACTTTAATTTTTAATTTTAAGTTAATATATAAATATTAAAACTTTAATTAATCTTGATACTTAATAATATTATTGGTCTTGAATACTATATTTTTTGGTATTTCAAAAATAAAATTTGAAGGTGATTATAATTTTTTTAATATAATAAAATAAATGAATTTTTATATTTAATTTTTATTTTTGGATATATGATATTATTTTTGGCTTTAAAGACTAAAAATTACTTTTGAAAAAATTATAGATTATGATTTGTAACAAATATTATTAATAAAATTTTGATCTTTGTTGAATTATAAAAGAATATTATTATTCTTTATAAAATGTTTTGATAGAAAGAAAAAAGAAAAATAATACAATGAACATGTATATTATTTTGACAAATTGAGTTAAATAAAAATAAATTAAAGTACAAATAATTTGAGATATATTAAATAAATATATATTTTTAACAAAAAAATATTATTCTTAAAAAAAGATTAAAACTATAATTTCATTTAAGACATGTAATATGCCTATAAAATAAATTTATAGAAGTTTTCAACTTTTAGGAAGCTACTACAAAAAAAAACTTATAATTTGAATGCTTAGCTAATACATTTTGTGGTAATCAAAAAGCTTCTTTGTGGTCTTTTTATTCACCAAGATAAATAGAGGCAAGAACAAGACTATTTTTAATCTTATCAATAATCTTTCTTGTATTTTAATCTTAAGTTTATATATATATATTTTCTAATAGTGTATTAATATGTTGTTGTTTTATAGGATTTTTAGATTTATGTCTTTGAAACTTTAATTATGTTATCAATTTAAAGAATATACATATAAATATATTTACATGATTTGATGTAATTTTTTATATATACAATAAAATAAAAATTACATCTAATATATGTATAATAGTATTAAAAAATAATAAAAATATATGGCATTTCGATATTGTTAAGGACATGCATAAAGTATGACTTTGAAGAAACAATATAATCATGGATCATTGAAGAATTGAGATAGTAATGAAAGAAGATATAATAATAAGATAAGATAGAATAAAAATGACTTTTGTTAAATATAAAGAGATTAGAGAGTCTTGAACTAAGACTTGAATACAAAAAAAGTGTTAATAAGAATAATGATGGTCTTAAACTTACTTTCATGTATACTAGCTATAAAAAACATCTTATAGAAACTTTTTATTGATAATAATGCTTAGAGCCCAAGTAATAAGATGTAGATTGCTTCCAAAGAAAGTTTTTGAAATCACAAAACTTATGGCACAAGTTTTAATGGCCACATGGAATACATATAATATTATGAATATTTAACTTATATCTAAGAAACTTCTTACAAACTTGTTAAAAAAATTTAAAATATTTTCAATATATTTTTATCTACTTCTACTTAATTCTATTTACTTTGACTTATTTAAATAATATAAATATGTATTCTTGTATTATAATTTAGCTACCATATAAAAATATTTTATATATATATTTAATATGTAATTTATTATGCAGTGTAATAAGAACCACATCAATAAATTTTAGTTGATTATAAAATATAGTTAAGTTGCTACTTTGAAAGGATTTTGTTTAAATGAGCTACAATTGAGGTTGGTTTATATTGATGATAGCTTTAATATATTTAGAGCCATTTTTATTAGACATTGGTGATCATTATATATATAAAAATGATAGTTACTTTTCAAGGGCAAATAGAAGCCTCGAGCATAAGGGAATCAACATCTGCTAAGTTGAAATTGAGTAAGCCTAGTACATACTCTGTGACTTCAAGAGAAGAAGATGTATATGAATGGTTTTTCAACATGCAACAATATTTCTAACTATTTGGAGCAAATACCATTGAAAGAATTATATTTGTAGCAAGCTATTTGAGAGATGCGACAACCATTTGGTCGCAACATCGAGTTCAAAGCTATGGAGCTCAAGGTGGATTTTGTAACTAGGAGGAATTTGAAACGAAGTTCAAGAATCAATTTTGACCTATGAATGTGGAGAAGATAGCATGCTATTACTTGAAAAATCTTACACAAGCTAGGTCGGTACAAGATTATGTCTCCCAATTCAAATTTTTATGTCTCTAAATTAACAATGTTTTAGAGGCAAAGATAATGGATTGGTTCCTATGAAGTTTGAAACTTGGGATCTAACAAGAGGTGGAACTAAGGGATCTACAAATATTTGAAGAAGCAATTCGGATTGTAAAAAAAATCGATGCTATAGATTTCAAAGATTGTATAGCACGACCTCTAGTACAAAGTCCTATGCCGCTACTTAATATTATGGCACAACAATCATTCCCAATAGAGATTGATGCCCTATAAGGATCACTGACACTACAAAGATGACAAATATTGGTGCAAAAAAGATTGTGTTTCTATTGTGAGGAGTCAGGCAATCAAATTGGAGGTTGTCCAAAACGTCAAAATTTAACAAGACAAGGTAGGTTCACAATCTCAAAACTCACCAAGTTGATATTGAGTCCAAGTAGAAAAACAAAGCTCCTTAGTAAAAGCACCAAGGGCTAATATAAGAAATAGCTACTATCTGTTAGAAATAAATTGCATGGCCTTGGACAACTATAAGAAGAATTGATTGGTGTATCTAATAAGGCTACTAAGAAAAAAACCATGTCGAGTGCTTGTAGATTGTGGCCCTATAAAAAAATACATCTCAATTGAAATTGCTGACCAGCTTGGAATTAAAATTAAGGCAATCAAAAGAAGAATTATATGCCTTGCAAATTACCAAAAGAATGTATTGAGTGAGACGTGTGAAGAAGAAACCTTGAGATTAACAGACGCCTACATTTTAAGAATGAGATTCAAGGTGACAAAGCTAAGGTATGATGTTATCCTTGGTATGCCATGGCTAGAGATGAAAAATAAGCAAATAAATTG